TCACAGGCGGGATGTTGCATTTAATGCATAAATTAATCTCTTCTTAAACTGTTCTAATTATTGAGCACAGCGAGTACCCAGTTCCAACCAAGGTGTCAATTGGTTTTGCTAACACTGCTGTCCCACTTGTACAGAAGTTAAAATAAAAACGAGACAGCATAGCAGTTAATCAATGATGTAAGACAGTATTGTGTCTACAATATGATGCTGGTTTCAAAGTAAACGGCTGTGAGACCTTTCAGAGAGGCTTAAAGAGCTCCATACACGCAAGTAACTACACTGTACTTTTACTTCGTCAGTCTCTTTTCCCCCAAAAGCGGGGATGATAGTAAATGACAGTTGTCTTCAAAGAAACACCTGTACAACACAAACCGCCTTTTTAACTCTGTAACCATGACACGGTGAAGTGGGAGCTGTGAGCATTCACATCCGACGTGGCACTTGTACGACAGAAAGGTACGTTTGCACTTAAATGTTGTCTGGGTGACAAAGTAACAAAAGACAATCGAGTGGATCTTACAATAACAAAATCCCATGATTGTGACTGATTGCCAAGACTTGTCAGGATGAGGGAATATTGATGATTAGTGGGAGCAAAAAGGCTGTTAGACTGTTCCTGTTGATCACTCAGTGAGTCATCTTACTTTTTGAGGCAGGTCTGTTGAACAAGAGCTTCAAGAGCACAAGGCTCAATCAACTTGAGAACAAACTATAAACTTGAGATTGCAAACAAAGCCATATTGTCTTTCAGAAGTATCCAATACCGCTAAGGTTGTGAAATCCCCAGCAGGTGCACAGTTGAACAATATTTGAGACAGAGCCATTTTGTTATTCATTTCTGGGATGTAGGTGTCAATGGCTGGCCCAGCATTTATTGCCTGTCCCTAGTTGCCCCTTGAGAAGGTGGGGGTGAGCTGTCTTCTTGAACCGCTGCAGTCCACCTGCTGTGGATTGACCCACAATGTATTTAGGGAGGGAATTCCAGGATTTTGGCCCAGTGTCAGTGAAGGAACAGCGATATATTTCCAAGTCAGGATGGTGAGTGGCTTGGAGGGGAACTTGCAGGGGGTGGTGTTCCCATATATCTGCTGCCGTTGTCCTTGTAGGTGGAGGTGGTCATGGATTTGGAAGTTGCCGTCTGAGGACAAAGGATCCAAGGAGGTAGATGCAAAGAATTATCTTCAGGGAGGATGAGAGAGGATGGCAAGGATTAGAGAGGGGATCCTAAGGAAGCTGAAGACAGCAAAGCAATGATGGGCTGCACTACAGGAGAGCATTGAATATCAAATTTGTTGATCTCAATATGGACCATTGGATTTCTCCACACTCTCTCTTTGAGCAATTTTGGGATAGAATCTCATCTTTGGCATTCGGGTGGTGTGGAGTGTATGGAACTGGTCATCCATTCTCCTCCCCATTGATTACTGTATGACTGATTATCGAGCAGGAGTGCAACTGTTTCGGTTTTGCCCCCTTTACATGACTGGTCTTGATGAACTTCAAGCCCTCCTATGTTTTTGTGCAACTGCAGCTCTGATAGCTCTCTCATAGTGCAACGTTCACAATCATTGACCAAACCAGTATTTTATAATGACCGATGCCTCTGTTATGTGCTATCTATTATTCTGCTGCTTAGGTGGTGCGTTGCCCATATACAAATACGTTCCAAGGTCATTTAGAAGTAAATTGTTATCAGGGATGGAAATTTGCTGATTGGGCAATTTTTATTTTTATTCATTTTTATTCACAGGCTAGGTCAGCAATTATTGCCAATCCCTAATTGCCCAAAGGGCAGTTAAGAGTCAATCACACATTGTTGTGGGTGTGGAATTGTTATTAGGCCAGACAAGGTAAGGATGGCAGATTTCCTTCCCTAAAGGACATTAGTGAACTTGATGGGCTTTTCCCCAACAATCACCAATGGATTCATGCCAGCATTAGACTCTTAATACCAGATATATTTTTATTGAATTCAAATGCCACCATCTGCCATGGCAGGAGTTGAACCTGGGGCCTCAAAGCATTACATGGGTCTCTGGATTAACAGTCTAGCGATAATACCACTAGGCAGTGTAAATTCTGTGTAAGTTACCAGTAACTGTAGGTCAAAAGTAACCAGCAAGAAATTACTGTTTTCTTCCCTCTTTTGCTGTAGATATTTTCTAGCCAATCCATTCAGAGATGTTTATGTTGCAATTCTGGAGAAGGTGAAGAAGTCAAGTCTCCTGCCTCAGAGGCAGGGACACTACCACAAGGGCCCATCCTTCTCTTTTTGTATACTCATGACTTTTGAAGCCAGCTGGAAGATGCTTACCTTCTGGAACTACAAAGCAACAAGGAGGAACATTGCTTCAGGCTAGAGGTTAATGGCTGAGATCTGGTGATTAGTAAGCCTTTAATTCACGTGTGTAAAACGGTTCCTTGATATCAACAGTACGTCAAATATCTTACACTGCAATCTGGACTAAAATACGTCCCATGACTCTGTTTTTGTATGGGCAAAGATACTTCACAAGTGTCATCGTGTCATACAGTCATAGAGAGATGTGGCACGAAACTGACCCTTCTGTCCAACATGTCCAGGCCGACCAGATATCCTAATTTACTTTAGCCCCATTTGCCAGCATTTGGCCCATATCCCTCCAAACCCTTCCTATTCATGTACCCATCCAGGTGCCTTTTAAATGTTGTAATTGTACCAGCCTCGACCACTTCCTCTGGCAGCTCATTCCATATAGGCACCACCCTCTACGTGAAAATGTTCCCCCTTAGATCCCTTTTAAATCTTTCCCCTCTCACCTTAAAGCTATGCCCTCTAGTTTTGGACTCCCCTAACCTGGGGAAAAGACCTTGACTATTCGCCCTATCCTTGTCCCTCTATAAGGTCACCCCTCAGCGTCCGACGCTCCAAGGAAAATCAGCCTTTACCTTTCGCTCAAACTCTCCAACCCTGGCAACATCCTGGTAAATCTTTTCTGAACTCTTTCAAGTTTCACAGCATGCTTCCTACAGCAGGGAAACCAGAATTGAATGCAATATTCCAAAAGTGGCCTAACCGATGTCCTGTACAGCTGCAACATAACCTCCCGAATCGTATACTCAATGCACGTGTACCAATTGCCTTATCCACTATCCTGTCTACCTGCGACTCCACTTTCAAGGATCTACGAACCTGCACTCCAAGGTCTCTCTGGCTACACTCTTTTGGGGTCTTACTTTTAAGAGTATAACTGACCTTAATTGTTGGACTTTGTCTTTTCATTGCAAAGGCACCCAGAAATGTTTTGGTCCTACCCAGTCATCCTCGTAACCTTTCTTCTTTATGAAATACTGTGGGATCATGTCTGATTTAGACTAAAGACATGTCTATCAGATTTGAGGTCCTAAGAATGTTTTGTGGATGTTGTTAAGTGTCACTACATGGACTGATGGGTTTTGCAGTTGATGTTTCTGACGCTTCTTTGTCATAACAATCCAAATTAGTGCTGTAACCCCCTCCCCATAATCCTACACCCTCTACTTCAAATGTCTATCCACTACTACCTCAGAATATGCAATGTCTTCTGCCTCAAATTTTCCCCAGAACAGACCTCGATCTAGAGACAACTCTCCTGATCTCCTTCATAAATTAATAGTATCTTATTATTAAGACTCCTATTACATCCATTACCTTGTTCAAAAGCAACTTCCAAACTTGTAACATCTACAATCATTGCATGGACAGTAGATGCAAGTCTCCCTCTGAGCTACACACTGTCCTGATTTGCTACTGTACTGCCAATCTTTCTGAACTATTGGGAAAAAAAAAATCTTTCCCTACTCATTCTCAAAACATTCATTATTTTCCGAAAAAAAAAGCCCCAAATTTTGAAGCATCTTTGTGTATTATTGGCATCCCACTTCTGGCATCTTCTCACATACTTTATTGTCCTTCTCATTATAAAGTGTGCAGAATTTCTGCCATCTACCAGTTGAAGTTCAGTTTGTATAGACTCATGCTATAGCCTGTCACCAAGGTGACACGTTATTTGGGAACAGGGAAGGTTAAGGGTTTTAATAAAAAGAGTTTGGTTTTGATGGAGCAGAGATTGTTTCTGTAGGCAGAGGGATCAGTAACCAGACAGCTTAAGATGACTCTCAGGAGAATGTGTCTTTATCAGCGAATGGTTGTACTGTGGAATGTACTGCCTGAAAGAGCTGGTGGAAGCAGATTTAATGACCATTTCGATAAGGGAACTGGATGACAACTGGAATCTGGTTTCTCGTTCAGGCAGCAGGGCTGTGGCAGCTCTTTCAACAATTTCTTACATTCACCTAGCACCTTTACTGCAGTAAACCATCCCAAGGTACTTAGGAGAAGTGACGGTCCAACACAGTTGGACATGGAGCCACATAAGGAGATACAAGGGCTGATTTTATTCCCCTTTTGGGGGCAACTAACTTTTCTGTCTCTTAATCTCTTCCACCCTATCACAGACCTGCCTTTTCATAGAATCCCTACAATGTCGAAGCAGGCCATTCAGCACATTGAGTCCACCCTGACCTTCTGAAGAGCATCCCACCCAGACCCACACCCCTACCCTAACCCTGTGACCCTGCATTTCCCATGGCTAACCCACCCAGCCTGCAGATCTATGGACACTATGGGGCAATTTAGCACAGCCAATCCACCCTTACCTACATATCTTTGGATTGTGGGAGGAAACCCATACAGACACAGGGAGAATTGTGCAAACTCCACACAGACAGTTGCGTGAGGGTGGAATCGAACCCAGGTCGCTGGTGCTGAGAGGCAGCAGTGCTAACCACTGAGCCACCATGCCACTCCAAAGGTACCCTGCCTTTGTCATTGTCCCTCCCACCCCTTGCTTAAAATCTGTTACATCTCAAATTTCCCCAGTTCTGATGAAAGCTCACAGGCCTGAAATGTTGACTCTCTCTCTCTCAACACAAATACTGAATTTTTATTTCCTCCCTGGCATTTTCTGTTTTTATTTCAGATTTGCATCATCCACAGTATTCTGCTTTGGAAGATTAGGACCAGCTTGAGAGAAATGAAGAGAGCCGAAGTGGCTTAGCGGACAAATTCAACTGCTTGGAGATTTCAGAGAGACGCCACAGGCAAGGTGGGCTGAACGGCCTCCGCCTCTGCTCCATCAATTCAATAATGGTTTCACTTGGCTTGGCCTGATTTCACCTCAGTTTGTGAATAGTCTACCAAAGGAACAGAGTGGGAGGGCTCGAGTCATGAGTGATATTCTCCTAATGACGACATCACCAGCAGAGGTCCGATTGATTCCCTAATCGCTTTTAAAACAGTCTGAAAAGCCAGCCCATTCCGAACACAACTGCAAATTAGGATGATGGGAAGTTGGAATAAAAGAATTTGAAGCCTACTGTGATTTCATCAATGGGGGACTACTGGTGAATTGTAACCCTGACAACATTACTAAATTCATAAACCACGCACCAGTCTGAGATGGTTAATAAGGAAAAACTTGCTTCCATTGGTAAGGAGTTCAGAAACAAGAAATCTATGGACAATGGTCCAGGATAGAGATGAGAATTTCTGTTTAACCCAGCAAGCTGTTTATAATTTCTTGAAAGGGATGGTGGATGTGGATTCAACAGTAACTTGCGAAGGAAAGCGGCTAAGTACAAGAAGTGGGAATGCGTATTCAGGGCAATTAATAAGCGATTGGTTTATTACTGAGTATAAACATTGCTTAAAGAAGACTGGAGTCTTGCATTCATCAGGACCAGGAGGGCGGGGGAATAGACTTGAGAAATGAGACAACATTTTATCAAGAATGAGGAGAGGGTGCTAACTGGCTCAGCCAATTGGCAAGGTGATGCAGCAAGAGCAGTGAGCTGTCAATCTTAATTTGCAGACCAGGATTTTGATTGGTCAGGATGTTGCCATGGGGATGCAGCTATCTCCGCGATCTCTTTTGTTACTGGAAAGATGCAGTGCATGTACAAAATCCCTTTGCCTACATAAAGCAGGGCCCTGTGTATTTATGTATGTAGCTGTCTCACAGAAAGGCATCATACTGTGAGCCCGGCTGGTGATTTTCAAATTGATTTCCGATGTAACTCCTATTGCAGTCTGGCATGTTTAATAAATGATGTCCAATAGCAGACTCACATCTAATGATGGCTCAACCAGACAGCACCCCCCCCTGCCCCCCCCCCCCCCCCACCGACCCACCCCCCGACACCCTCGTCTTGATGAATGCAAGATAACAAAAAACTTCAAAAACATCCTGTCTCCTTCTCAGCAATGTTTATTTTCAGAAGTACCAGGATGTGTGACTAACTGAATAGCTCTTCTGAAGAACCAGCACTGTGACAATGGGCTGAACGGCCTTATAATGATGATGACTTAATGTTTGTCAAGCTATTGCAAGTGTCTGCTTTGTAGAAACGTGGCACCCATTTGCAATATGACCTCCTGTGATTTGCAATGATCTTTCTGCTGGGCATAATATCCCAAAGCTGGTAGTGTCCCCTTCCCCTCACCCTGGAAGAAAGACTTTACAATGCAGCTTTTGTAATTGCCCTTGAGCCACCTCCTGCTCTTGCTTGCCAGTGGGAACCGATGCAGGGGTCTCTGCCAGACCTGAGCAGGGGAAAGATCAGTGAGAGGAGTTTGCCTATAGAAATCCTATCTAATGGCTCTCTCTGCCTTTTTGGGGAGGTGACTCAGTGGTTAGCACTGTTGCCTCACAGAGCCAGGGACCCGGGTTTGATTCCACCCTCGGGCGACTGTCTGGGTGGAGTTTGCACGTTCTCTGCGTGGGTTTGCTCTGGGTGCTCCGGTTTCCTCCCACAGTCCAAAGATGAAGTCACACGGCACCAGTTTATAGTCCAACAGGTTTATTTGAAATCCCAAGCTTTTGAGGCGCTGCTCCTTCATCAGGTGAAGTGGAGGGAAGCGCACAGGCACAGAATTTATAGACAGAGAGATCATTGCAAGATAATTCCAGGTAATTAAGAATGTCAAAAGATAGTACAAATGGTGTGAGTGGATTGTCGACAGGCTGAATAATAAGTCTTTGCAGGTGATCAAAAGTGTGAAACGGTGTGAGAAAAGTGTCAACAGCTGAATGGCAAGTGAAGGGATGATCTCTGATCTCTCCGTCTATGAATTCTGTGCCTGTGCACTTCACTCCACTCACTTGATGAAGGAGCAGTGCCCCAAAAGCTTGTGATTTCAATATAGTTGGACTATAAGCTGTGACTCCTGACTTTGTCCCCAGTCCAACACTGGCACCTCCACATCATGTCCAAAGATGCGCAGGTTAGGTGGATTGGCCGTGCTAAATTTCCCCATAGTGCCCAGGGATGTGCAGGTTAGGTGGATTGGCCATGCTAAATTTCCCCATAGTGCCCAGGGATGTTCAGGTTAGGGTGGATTGGCCGTGCTAAATTGCCCATAGTGTCCAGGGATATGCAGGTTAGGTGAATTAGCCATGCTAAATTGCTCCATAGTGTCCAGGCTAGGTGGGTTAGCCTTGGTAAATGCAGGGTTACAGGGGAAGGGACAGGGACAGGGTCAGGGGCTGGGTCTGGGTGGGATGCTCTTTACAGCGTTAATGCAGACTCAATGGGCTGAATGCCCTCTTTCCACACTGCAGGGATTAAAAAAAAGGCTCATTTTCCAGTTTCCAGTTCTGAAGAAAGGTCACAGGATTGAAAATTTTTGAGAAGATTTGTAGCTCAGGTTGTGGATGAGGTTGTAGACTTGCTCGCCGAGCCGGTGTGTTTGATTGCAGACGTTTCGTCTCCCTGCTCGGTAACATTGTCAGTGTGCCTCCGGTGAACCGTTGGTGTTCTGTCCCACTAGTTATTTATATTTCTCGGTTTGCTGGGGTGATCGGTATTGCTTCCGGTTCTGTTTCTCAGTGGTTTGTATATCGGGTCCAGTTCGATGTGTTTGTTGATGGAGTTCCGGTTGGAATGCCAGGCCTCCAGGAATTCCCTGGAATGTCTCTGTTTGGCTCGTGCTGTTATGGATGTGTTGTCCCAGTCAAATTCGTGTCCTTCTTTGTCCGTGTGTATTGAGACCAGTGAGAATTGGTCGTATCTCTTGGTGGCTAATTGGTGTTTGTGTATCCTTATTGTCAGTTTTCTTCCAGTTTGGCCTGTGTAATGTTTCTCACAGTCCTTGCATGGTATTTTGTACATTACATTAGTTTTATTGGTTGTGGGTATGGGATCTTTTACATTTGTCAGTAGCTGTCGCAGGGTGACCCCTAGGTATTAGAGTAGCCCACAAACCAGCAACCATCCTGCGACAGCTATTGACAAATGTAAAAGATCCCATACCCACAACCAATAAAACTAATGTAATGTACAAAATACCATGCAAGGACTGTGAGAAACATTACATAGGCCAAACTGGAAGAAAACTGACAATAAGGATACACGAACACCAACTAGCCACCAAGAGATACGACCAATTCTCACTGGTCTCAATACACACGGACAAAGAAGGACACGAATTTGACTGGGACAACACATCCATAACAGCACGAGCCAAACAGAGACATTCCAGGGAATTCCTGGAGGCCTGGCATTCCAACCGGAACTCCATCAACAAACACATCGAACTGGACCCGATATACAAACCACTGAGAAACAGAACTGGAAGCAATACCGATCACCCCAGCAATCCGAGCCTTATAAGTAACAAGTGGGACAGAACACCGACGGTTCACCGGAGGCACACTGACGGTGCTACCGAGCAGGGAGACGAAACTTGCGATCAAGCCCACCAGCTCAGTGAGCAAGTCTACAGCCTCAGTCACAGGATCTGATATGTTAACTCTGGTTTCTCTCCACAGACTTGCTGAGTTTTTCCAGCAATTTGTTTTTGTACCTTATTTTCTACTCAGGTTCTTTCCAGCTTCCAGGATTTAATGTTGAATTCCATGACTTCACAGCCTGACTGCATGATGTCTGCTCTCCATTTTGTTTTTACATTCTTTCAGCCTTGTCTCGTTTACTTTGCTGTCTTGTTGAGAGGACCCATTCTCTCCCTTTCGCACAATAATTTACATTCATTTTACATCTCCTTCTCTCTTTCACCACCATTAGCATCCTGTTTGTCTTTGGGCCTCCACACCATCTGTTCCCTTTGCCCCCTCCTCCTCCTCTGTTAAAGGTGTTTAAAAAAATACTTTTTCCAACCTATCTCAGTGCTGAAGAAGAGTCACTGCACTCAAAACATTAACTCTGTTTCTCTGTCCACAGATGCTGCCAGACCCACTGAGTTTCTCCTGTAATTTCTGTCCTTGTTTCAGATTTCCAACATCTGCAGTATTTTGTTCCACTTTTCTCCAGTGTCATCTGATATTTCCCTTGAAGCTTCAGCTTTTTAAGGCTCCTATTGAATTGCCAGTGTTGGCAAAATGCAACTCATAACCTAAGCCATGATTCACATCCCCTGCCCCATTTCAGATTTCATAAATGACGTTAACCCTATTTCATTGAATCCCTATAGTGTGGAAGCAGGCCGTTTGGTCCATCGAATTGGTACTGACCCTCTGAAGAGCATTCCACCCATACGCATACCCCTAGCCTACCCTAACCCTCACATTAACTACAGCTAATCCACCTGGCTTGCAGACCTGAACACTATGGAGAATTTAGCACGGCTAATCCACCAAACCTGCGCATCTTTGGATGGTGGGTTGAAACCCAAGCACCCAGAGGAAGCCCACACAAACACAGGGAGAATGTACAAACACCACACAGACAGTCATAGAGTCATAGAGTAATGCAGCATGGGAACTGGTCCATGCTGACCATGGTGCCCACTCAGCTACTTGCATTGGCCCACATTTGGTCCATATCCCTCTAAACCCTTCCCATCCATGTACCTCTCCAAATGTTTTTTTTAAATGTTGCTATTGTACCTGCCTCTTTCTCTGGCAGCCCAATCCCTGTATGCACCACTCTCTGTGTGAAGAAGTTGCCCCTCAGGTCCTTCTTAAATCTTTCCCCTCTCACCTTCAACCTATGCCCTGTAGTTTTCAATTCCCCACCCCTGGGAAAAAGAATATATACATTCATCCTATCTATGCCCCTCATGATTTTATACACCTCAATAAGGTGGCCCCACATTCTCCTACATTTCAAGGAATAAAGTCCTATCCTGGCCAACCTCTCCCTATAACTCAGGCCTACTAGTCCTGGCAACATCCTCATAAATCTTTGCACACTGTCCAGTTTCACTATGTCTTTTCCATAACAGGGTGACCAAAACTGTACACAATACTCCAAATGCAGACTCACCAATGACTTACACAACTGTAACATAATGTCCCAACTCCTATACTCAAAGCCTTGACTGATGAAGACCAGAATGCTAAATGCCTTCCAAGGGTCGGTTTCTGGCTCTGTGAGGCAGCGGTGCTAACGACGGTGCCATTGTGCCACCTATATAATTGTTGGAAATTGTAGATAGATAGTGGTAATGCCATTGCACCAGTACCCCAACAGTCAATGCTCCAGGAACATTGGTTCAAATCCCACAAGGGGAGACGTTGGAATTTGAATTAAGTGAACTAATTAAAGGAAAGAAAAAAACAGGCATTGAAAGCATTCTCAGTAAAGATGACTGCAAAACTGTCAGTTATTGTAGAAACTCCATCTGGTTTACCAGTGTCCTTTTTAGAAAGTAGCATGTAATTACCTGGTACACAAGCTGTAATTAGTAAATAGATTTGTAACTACAGACATGTACCTTGGAACAAAACTGAACAAAATGCACATCTCAAAATCACCAAGAAATGGTTGTAGAAGCAAGTGAACTGGCACAGAGCTAAGATTCAAGTATTTAGGATGAATAATTAAAGAGGACAGACGATGCAACAAGAAATAAGAATGAGGATACGGCACAGTGGCTCTGTAGTTAACGCTGCTGCCTCACAATGCCAGGGACCTGCATTCAATTCCAGCTTCGGGTCACTGTCAGTGTGGAATGTGCACATTCCCCTCGTGTCTTTATGGGCTCCCTCCGGGTGTTTCCTCCCACAGTCCAAAGATGTGCAGGTAAGGAGGATTGGTCATAGGAAATTGTCCATAGTGTCCAAGGATGTGCAGGCTAGGTGGATTAGCCATGGGAAATGCAGGGATAGGGTAGAGGGTTTGGGTCCGGGTGGTCTCTTCTGGGGGTCATTGTGGACTTGATGGGTTGAATGGCCTGCTTCCATGTTGTAGGGATTCTACAGACAGCAGTGGGAAAGGCCGTATTTGAGATAAGACAGTTACCAACCAGAAAGTTGAGTAGACATAAAAAAAAGATTTTTAAAGAGCCAGATTTGTGGTATTATTTTATATGGATGTGAGACTAGAACCTTATAGGTTCAGGCTATTTGTTTGCTAAATAGCTTTGAAATGTAGGCTTGTAGAAGAATGGGAGGGATCCAACAGGCAAGTTAAAGAAAAACACAAATGATGAAATGCTGAGGAGAACGACAGAACAAATAAATTGACTGAACACAGTCAGGAAAACATTGAGAAACTGGGTAGAACACACCTTTAAGAGGAAACAAACAAAAACAGAAATTGCTGGAGAAACTATCCAGAGCTGGGAGCATCTGTGGAGAGAGAAACATATTTAACACTTGGAGACCTGTGATTCAGAGAAGGGTCACGGGACTCAAAATGTTGACTCTGTTTCTCTCTCCACAGATGCTGCCAGACCTGCCGAGTTTCTCCAGCAATTTCTGTTTTTGCTTCAGATTTCCAGCCGGCGCAGTTCTTTGTTTAATTTTACACCTCAAGTGGAAATGAACTGGTAGGAGACATTGTGGAAGGAAAAGGAAGGAGAAAGAACACGGCTTGAAAATTGAAGGAAACTATTGGCAAATGGAAAGACCGCCCCAGGATAAAGAGACATGGAGAAACTATACAATGAGCCAAGAAAATGTCTCTGGGTGTAGCACACAGGGTAATGATGGTGACCCAACCGGTTTACGGGTGACTCCAGACCCTTGACTGCCCTCCGAAATGGTTCAGAAAGGCATTCAATTAAGGGGGCAGTTGGGTACGGGAAACAATTGCGGGCCCTGCCAGTGACACCCACATCCCATGAAAAAAATTATACCTTCGGGTAGGGTCAAAGTTCACAGATATTAAGGATTGACCGAAAGGGAAGATAGCGGCCAGTTTATTCCTTGCTTAATCTACAGTGAATCAGACAATGGCTGGAGGAATTATCTTGGTACCTGGCAGCTGAAACAGGCCTATTTTTAAGTCATTAATACATGAATTTAGGTTAGAAAACAACAGGCAGTTCGGATTAGCACTTCTGTACGTGCCCAGATGAAATAAAGACAGTTGTGAGCAACTCCCAAAATTTTGAGGATCATTGCAAGAACTGGATATTCTGGGGATCCTGAGTCAAGGCCTCAGTGATACTGTTATGTTGATGTAGCTTTTCTAATTCTTTCACCTCATTTTCCTGTTCCATTGACGGTGTAACTGGGCAAATCCTTTTCTGTATAATTGTAGGTCGCTAACTGTATTGATCTTTTATAGAGTAAAAGCAGTATGAATTGTTATAGAATGTCTCAGTGTCTGCAGTGATTAGAACTAGCTGGATCTCGTTGAGAATGAGGTCCTTGATTGGGGGCTGTTAACCTGGGCCAATCAGGGAGCCCTGGCTGACAGATATAAACAGGAGATTCAGAGAGTCTCCTCAATCCAGGGACTGGCTCTGAGCTGGGTAACAGCCCATGTACAGTGCACATGTAAATAAAGATTGACTTGGTGACGAGATACCAGCTTGTCTGCAGTTATTTCAGTGTTCTTTCAATAAAGTCCTCTGCATTTCCCAATTTTTAGCCAATGATTCTGTTCACTTAACCCATTTCTGACTTCCACCTCCACTCTCCCCCTTTCCCCATCCTCCCCTCACAGGGGGATGGGTCTGGGTGGGATGCTCTGAGGGTCGGTGTGGACTTGTTGGGCCGAAGGGCCTGTTTCCACACTGTAGGGATTCCATGATAATTTCACATTCGAATTGACAAAATTGGACTGAGCTAGGTCGGGTCATATTTTTGGAGTCAGGCACATGATAGGATCATAGGAAGAGGAGTAGGCCATTCAGCCCTTCAAGCCTGTTCTGCCATTCAACAAGACCACGATCTGTGGCCTAACCCCATCCATCTGCTTGTGGTTCATACCCCTCAATATCTTTGCTGATCAAAAAAAATTCGAGCTCAGATTTAAAATTAACAACTGATCCTGCATCAACCACCATTTGTAGAAGAAGTTTTTTCCAAATTTTCCAAATTCTACCACCCTATTAAGGTGCCATTTAGGGGGTTGGTTAGCTCAGTCGGCTGGGCAGCTGGTTTGTGATGCTAAGTCTATGGGTTCAATTCTGCCGTAGCTGAGGTTACAATAAGGATTGTCCTTCTCAAATTCCCCACCTCACCTGAGGGGCGGAGGCCCTCAGCTTAAACTCTCCCCCAGTTATCTCTTTCTCTCATCTTTAATTGCCATTTGCATCTGACTTGAGCTGTGCCACATCAAGTACTTGTAGTTTTTTTTCCTGGAAAAGCTGGAGGCCGTTCAGCCCCTCAAGCCTATTCTAGCATTCAATTCAATCATAGCTGATCTGCGCCTTGACTATGTCTACCCAACACAGGCCCACCTCTCTCAGCAGCCTTACCTCTGCTTTAGAAAGATTAATCGACCCAGCATCTGGGGCGAAAGAATTTCCATCACTTCTTACGTGGCATAAAGCTTCACAGTTTTACTCTTGCATGGTCTACGATTTTAAGATTGTGTCCCATTGATTTGGATTTCTTCACCAGAGGGAATGATCCCTACATTTTTGCCCTTTTAAGGACCTTGCACCAACCAAACCCAAAGGAGGGAAGAGGTTTGTACAACCTGACATTTGTAATTTAATTCTTTAATTCCCCAGTCGTCCCACTGTGCTGATGCTACATCTTGAACAGGCAATCTAATTTGCTCCACTCCTCTTGTTTCTTTTTACCCTCTCAGAGCCCTTCAGCTCTTTCCATTTCAAATCTTTATCCAATTGCCTTTTTTGAAAATGGAGAACTGTGACCAGTGGTATTGCACAGGGATCTGTGTTGTCTGTGATATAAGTAAATGATCTGGAGGAAGGTATAGATGGTCTGATTAGCAAGTTTGCAGATGACACTAAGATTGGTGGAGTAGCAGATAGTGAAGGGGACTGTCGGAGAATGCAGCAGAATATAGATAGATTGGAGAGTTGGTTGGAGAAATGGCAGATGGAGTTCAATCCAGGCAAATGCGAGGTGATGCATTTTGGAAGATCCAATTCAAGAGCGAACTATACGGTAAATGGAAAAGCGCTGGGGAAAATTGATGCACAGAAAGATCTGGGTGTTCAGGTCCATTATACCCTGAAGGTGGCAACGCAGGTCGATAGAGTGGTCAAGAAGGCATACGGCATGCTTTCATTCCTCGGACGGGGTATTGAGTACAAGAGTTGGCAGGTCATGTTACAGTTGTATAGGACTTTGGTTCGACCACGTTTGGAATACTGCATACAGTTCTGGTCGCCACATTACCAAAAGGATGTGGATACTTTGGAGAGGGCACAGAGGAGGTTCATCAGGATGTTGCCTGGTATGGAGGGTGCTAGCTATGAAGAGAGGTTGAGTAGATTAGGATTATTTACATTAGAAAGACGGAGGTTGAGGGGGGACCTGATTGAGGTCTACAAAATCATGAGAGGTATAGACAGGGTGGATAGCAAGAAGCTTTTTCCCAGAGTGGGGGACTCAATTACTAGGGGTCACGATTTCAAGGTGAGAGGGGAAAAGTTTAAGGGAGATATGTGTGGAAAGTTCTTTACGCAGAGGGTGGTGGATGCCTGGAACGCATTGCCAGCGGAGGTTGTAGAGGCGGGCACAATAGCGTCATTTAAGATGTATCTAGACAGATACATGAATGGGCAGGAAGCAGAGGGATATAGATCCTTGGAAAATAGGTGACAGGTTTAGATAAAGGATCTGGATCGGTGCAGGCTTGGAGGGCCGAAGGTCCTGTTCCTGTGCTGTAATTTTCTTTGTTCTTTGTTCTTTGTTCTTTGTTCAGAAGAACACAAGACCTAGAAACAGCAGTAGACCATTCTGCGCCTCGAGCCTACTCCTCCATTCAATACAATCATGGCTGATCTCATCTTGGCCTCTACTCCACTCCTTAATAATTAAAAACCTCTTACTTCATAGAACTCCTACACTGTGGAAGCAGGCCTTTTGGCCCATCGAGTCCACACTGGCCTTCCAACAAGCATCCCACTCAGACTCACCCCCCTTTACTCTCTCCCTGTAACCCAGCATTCCCCATGGCCAATGCACCCTAACCTGCGCATCTTTGGACTGTGGGAGGAAACTGGGGCACCTGCAGGAAATGCATGCAGATGTGGGGAGAATGTGCAAATCCCAATACGAAGCTGGAATTGAACCTGGGTCTCTGGCGCTGTGAAGCAGCAGTGCTAACCACTGAGCCAATGTTCTGCCCACTTAAATCTATTCTGTGACCTGCTGCCCACCACACTTTGAGGGTGGGAATTCCACAGATTCATGACCCTCTGAGAGAAGTAATTTCTCCTCATCTCCGTTTTAAATCCATTATCTTTTATCCAAAAACTGTGACCTTTTGTTCTAGATTGCCCCACATGAGAAAACATCCTCTCTACGTCTAATTTATTAATCTCCTTTAGCATCTTATCCATCTCCAGTGCTTCACTAAAGTGCTCCACTCTGTGAGGGACTGGAGACACTCTCGCTGTTTACAGAGTTTACAGAGACATGTGGTTATAATGTGAGGGACACCTTAGCACCTTCCAAACCTGCGTCCACTATCATTGAGAGGGTAAGGGTCGCAGATTCTTGGGAACAATATCCCCTGCAACTCCTCTCCCAGCCACTCACCCTCCTGATTTGGAAATATATTGCCATTCCTTCACTGTCGCTGGGTCAAAATCCTGGAACTCCCTCCCTAAGGGCATTGTGGGTCAACCTACAGCACATGGACTGCAGCGGTTCAAGAACGCAGCTCACCACCACCTCCTCAAGGGGCAACAGTTAATAAATGGTGGCTCAGCCAGCGATACCTATGTCCCACAAATAAATTTTAAAAATCAGATCTCCTCTCATTCTTCTAAACATGAGGGCTAAAGTGCTCAATTTCTCCTCACAAAACAATTTTCTCCTCATCATTTCACCTGACGAAGGAGCAGCGATCCGAATGCTTGTGATTTCAGACAAACCTGTTGGGCTATAACCTGGTGTCGCGTGACTTCTGGCTTACCCCTCATAAAACAAGCTTTTCATCTCTGGAATTGATCTGGCGAACTTTGTCTGACCTGCTCTCAATGCAAGTACAACCCAAGTAAGTTGGGGGTGGGGGTGATGGGGACAGGCATTCATACGAAGCGTCATGCGACGCCATTTCTCGTTTTACCTGTGATCTTATCGCGGACGAGCTTGCAGGATTCGATCTCCCCGATACTGCCGAAGAGGCTCTTGAACTCTTCCTGCGTCATGTTCTGTGGTAGATAGTTGACGATGAGATTGGTCTTGCTGTCATCAGAGGGCCCGGCCATCATTGGTATGGAGCAGTTTGTGCTGTTGAGGGATGGGCCATTGGATGTGCTGTTGCTTGTAGGACCATTTGCCACCTGAGTTTCCATAGTGCTGATTATCTGCTGAAGTAGAAGGAGAAAGGCCGTGAGCTTGAGAAGCGCCCTTGCTGAATTCCCAGCGAGAAACAGCAATACAACGCGGGACATTTGGAAACCAGCAGCGAGATTGGAGCACGATTCGGGAAAACTGAGCAGCCAGGCATAAGGACGTTTCACAGCCTTTGACACATGTCACACGCAACACTGCGAGACAGAGAATCATGAGGTTTAAAAGGAGTGGGGGTGAGATCCTGCGCTCAAGGGAAAAATATTGGAGAGCGTGTCTGTCAAAATTGTCGGCGATGGGTGTCTTAGAAACTGTGTCATTGACATCAATTGAGCTACGTTTCATCAAGGGGGGAGCCCAAAGAGGCAGAGATGGGACAGGTCACTATGCCAAAGGATTACCCAATAATTAGATCTGAATGACGTTTTATCTGTCAGCATGGGCACTGGTTACAGGTTATTTGATCTCAGTCGGGAAGTTTGAGAAATGGGTGACAGTCATTATAAAGCCTTGCTTACAACTGGATTGTGCACAGTTAGGTACAAAGGTGTTGAGCTCCCATTAAACATGGAGTAGTAGCAGGGATTTCTTCTCTGAGGGTCATTACTCTATGAGAGCCACTTTCCCTGGAGAGCAATGAATCTTTTGCAGGCTGTTAGACCGATTTTGGATTGACAAAGGAGCTGACGTTCTTGGAGGGCAGGCGGGAAAGAGGAGTTGAGACCACCATCAGCTCAACTGTCCCAAGATGTAGGGGCAGGCGTAGGTCATTCAGCCCATGGCATCTGCTCTGCTATTCATTGAGATCAGAGTTGATTTGATAATTCTCAATTCCACTTTCCTGCCCTATTCCCATAATCCTTGATTCCCTTCCTGATTAAAAATCTGTCCACCTCAGCCTTGAATATACTTAATGGCCCAGCCTCTCCAGCCCCTCTGTGGTAGAGAATTCCACAGATTCACGACCCTCTGAGGGAAGAAATTCCTCCTCGTCTGTGTCTTAAATGTGCAAGCCCTTACTTTGAGATTTTGACCTTTGGTTCCAGACACTCCCACAAGGGGAAACAACCTCTCCAAATCAACCCTGTCGAGTCCTCAAGAATCTTATATGTTTCAATAAGGTCATCTCTCTAAACTCTCATGAATACGCACCCATCCTACTCAACCTTCCTCATAAGACAGTTCCCCCATATCTGGGATCAGCCTAATGAGACTTCTCTGGGCTGCCTCCTACTCCAGCACAGCTTTCCTTCGATAAGGGGCCCAAATGAGGGGCTGAATGGCCTCCTCTTATCGCTTATGATCTTGTTTCACAAAGCCATCCCTCACTCATGCACCTTAGCTGAGGCGAAAGTGCCCTAATTTATACGGAGTGACATCTGGCCTCAATCAAATCCCAAGAACATCTGTGCAATGAGACTGGCTCACTGAGCACCATAAACGTGGTCCCTGAGGCTTTGTAAGTGGAGTTCGTAAATTGCTTATCCATAGCAAAGAGTCAGAGGAGATGTTTTGTGAAGTCTGTTTATAAACTCGAGTGAAATGCTCCATCATGGAAAATCTAGGGTTACGTTCAAGTGTTTGGGAATTACAATGGAATCCGTAACTGGGGATAGTTGTGCGGAAGCTCGCCTAGCTTGGTTGTAGTTATATTACAGCGATGGAAGTAGGCTCTTATGGAGAAGTGGTAGATCCCCTTCCTTTAGATCAGAGGTTCCAGGTTCAAATCCCTATAGCATGTCTGATCAGACTGCCTAGAAGTACTTACAATAGTATGTATTGGTAGGGATGTTGTACTTCTAAGAGGGAAGTGATTGTGCTGGAGAGGGTGAAGAGGAGATTTAACAGGATGTTGCCTAGCCTGGAGAGTTTCAGT